ACTACACAGTACTACAGAGCACTACACGGTACTACACAGTACTACAGAGCACTAAACAGTACTACAGAGCACTACACAGTACTACAGAGTACTACAGTGCACTACATAGTACTACACGGTACTACACAGTACTAGAGTACTACAGAGTACTACACGGTACTACACAGTACTACAGAGCACTACACAGTACTACAGAGCACTACACAGTACTACAGAGTACAACACGGTACTACACAGTACTACAGAGTACTACACAGTACTACACGGTACTACACAGTACTACAGAGTACTACACGGTACTACAGAGCACTACACAGTATTACAGAGTACTACACAGTACTACAGAGTACTACACAGTACTACAGAGCACTACACAGTACTACACAGTACTACACGGTACTACAGAGTACTACACAGTACTACAGAGCACTACACAGTATTACAGAGTACTACACAGTACTACAGAGTACTACACAGTATTACAGAGTACTACAGAGTACTACACGGTACTACAGAGTACTACACAGTACTACAGAGCACTACAGAGTACTACACAGTACTACAGAGCACTATACAGTACTACACAGTACTAACTTTATAAACTGAATAAAACCATGTTTCAATTAAATACATTAAATTAATAACCATTTAAAGTCCGCTCCTCTCGTTGTCTCTCGCGAGATTTCACTGATTCCTGCTGGAAAAATCCCAGGATCTCGGTGTAAATCTGAACCTGTTTTCACCGTCAGCTCATCTAACAGCTGATTTTCACGGTTTTGTTTCGTCACGGCAGAATTTTGTGTGACGTAAGACGAATGTAAAGTTAGAGGACGCGGGAACGTTGCGGGTCGAAGTGAGGATGAAACGGGATAGAAGTGATCGAGCTAGCAGCAGCTAGCTGCCGTTAGCAGGCTTCAGTGTGTGTGTATCCGTTAACCGGGACATTTAACGGTTACCGTTACCTTCTTCTCGGCCCGCGCCTCTGTCAGTCGCCGTTAAATCCCCTGAGCTGTCATGGCGGGCCGGTTACCTTCGGGAAAGGACCGAATCCGGCCGGTGTGTCCAGAGGAGTCGGTATCTCTGTTATCGCCACAGACCGGCGTCAAGCTAACGGAACTCACACACACGGTACTTCCGGTGAGAATATCAAAATAAAAGATCCCGGGCGACAGGACAGCACAACCTTTCAAATTAAAGTGCTGAACGGAAGTGTCAGGTGTGTTTTTGTTTTTCAAAGTAAAAGCACAAACGACACGGAAATAAACAGATGAGATGACGTATGACATCATAATTATGAGGTCATTCATTAGGAACTGTTCCTTATTTATCAGAGGAGGAGTAATGACGTCAGTTGCTTCCTCAGTGTACATTTCTCAACTCAACTCAAATTTATTTATAAAGCATATTTTAAAATAACTCAACAAACTCAAAACAACAGATCTGATCGGGAGGAGCATGCTATTCCACAGTTTGGGGGCAGACACAGCAAAGGCATGATCACCCCTGAGCTTAAGTCTGGAGCGTGGGACAGCCAGGAGCCCCAGGTCAGCTGACCTGAGGGACCTGGGGGTAGAATAGGGGGTTAGAAGGTCTGAGATGTAGGATGGGGCCAGACCATTAAGGGCTTTATACATAACAGGAGGACCTTATAGTCAACTCTGAACTTTACAGGCAGCCAGTGGAGAGAGGCCAAAACAGGTGTGATGTGGTCTTTCCCCCGGGTACCTGTGAGGAGCATGGCAGCAGTGTTCTGAACCAGCTGGAAGCGGGACAAAGAGGACAACTTCTGATCTGTCCTCATTCTGCTAGAGGAAGCTCTGTGCCATCCAGTTCTTTATGTCCTCGAGGCAGTTCATGATACTGGCAACACTAGACCTATCATTAAGCTTGATACGGATAGCTGTGTGTCGTCAGCATAGGAGTGGAAGGAGGTGTTATGTTTTTTTAATTATTTGGCCGACAGGAAGCATGCACAACGCAAAGAGAATAGGACCTAAGATGGAGCCTTGAGGGACCCCACAGGAAAGACTGTGATTTCTCATGCTGACGGAGAAACTTCTGTTTTTGAGGTAGGAGTTGAACCAGTGTAATGCAGTGCCACTGATGCCAACACCAAACTGGAGGTGTTCGATTAAGATGTTGTGATCCACAGTGTCGAATGCAGCGCTGAGGTCAAAAAGGAACCAGGATGGCACAGTTTCCAGCGTCAACACAGAGTAGCAGGTTGTTGTGCACTTTCAGCAGGGCAGACTCTGTGCTATGATCGGCCCTGAACCCAGACTGAAACCTTTCCAGGATGTTATTTTGACATAAGTAGGTCTGTAGTTGATGGAGAATAACCTTCTCCAGAAACTTAGAGAGGAATGGAAGTTTAGAGATAGGCCTGTAGTTGCTGGGCATTGAGGGGTCTAAATTGTTTGTTTTTTTCAGGAGGGGCTGGGCCACTGCCTGCTTGAATCAAACTGGAACAATACCGGTGGCCAATGAGCTATTAACAATGGAGAGGATGTAGATGCTTCAGGAGCCTGGAGGGGACAGTGTCAAGGGGGCAAGTCGTAGGTTTCCTGGAAGAAACAATCTTGGTCACGAAGGAAAGTGTGATGGGTTGGAAGCAGACCAGTCTAGATGAGCAGGCCAGTGGGGCAGCAAGGTTATGGGAGGAGCTGGGGATGTTAGATCTGATATTCTAAACTTTACGAGTAAACAATGTTAAAAAAAATTCCTCGCACTTAGCAGGGGACATATCTTGGTTTGCAGGGAGGGTGGAGCGGACAACAGAATAAATAGTAGTGACTAATGTCTTTGAATTATGTGAATGGAAAGTATTTTATTCTCGCAGCCTTAACTGATTCCTGAAATTTTAGAAGAAACCAGATGACAGAACCAGTGGTGGAAATGGGGGGGGGGGGGTGAATACAGAAAAAACAGAATATTCAATGTTTTATATAGGGGTTTTACAGTGTTTCTAAACTGCATGCTCCTTTTGCCGAAAGCACCTAAGCGCACTGAATCCATATGCAGCCCCAACAGCCGATGGGAATTCATCCCTGCCAGTGCGAGACAACTGCATTTTTTCCTAAGTGCGCTGTCTGAGGATAACTTGACAGACTGACAGACGAACAGCAAGAGTAGCTAACAGCAGGTAAATTATGAAGCTGTTGATGGTGGGAGTTCGCTTGAATTTCCTCAAACATTGGTGGTGTCTTTGACATATCTAGTCTTGTTAAAATAATGTTAATCTTGATTGTTTGATGATTTTGTGTTTATTGTAGCACATGGCCTGTGCATTGTGCACTGTGTCAAAGCTAGCTAGCAAACAAGCTTGCTAGCTAGTTAGTAACGTTAACATTAGCTTACCAGCTAAGCTCTGTCTCAAATCGTGTCGCCATCTTGGCTATGGCTGCGTAGCGGAAAGGTAGGGACCACTTTTCAAACTGGAAATAGCGGCCAAGAACTGTGCGACTGTGAACGTCGTTGCATTGTACAAATACATGTGTTTTTTGCACTAAGCACCACTATACTTAGGCTGACCAAACGTCCTCTTTTGCCCGGACATGTCCACTTTTCATGTCCCGTCCGGGGCGTCCGGGGGGGGGGGGTTTATAAACTGATGATAATGTCCGGTTTTCCGTGTGTTTGTCTGTGTGTGTTAGAGTGCAGCACGGGCAGCATATTTCTTTCCGAACCTGAACCGAGCCCGACATTATTTAATGACCAAAGCACTGAGTTTGTGTCACACAGTTGTTACAGGCTATGCGCCGCAGGTGCTCAGCTGCGGAGAGGGAGACCTCCGTGTTTGAGATGGGAGCGGGAGGCGGAAGGTCCGACGCTTCTAGCGAGAGGAGAGGGAGAAATAAAACAAAATAAGATAAAATAGGAAAAACCTGTCTCCCTCTTTTATTTTATTTTCAGCGTTTAATCAAGGCGGAGGTGGGCGGCTGGAGGTCCGAGACTTCGAGAGAGGAGAAAGGTAGAAACAAACAGCCAATGTGTGTGTGTGTGTGTGTTATGTTCAAGTGTTGTCATGTAAATAACAGTGCCCAAGCAATAAAAAGGACAGACAATAGGAATTTAATTTATTTTTACACTACATTTTCACTGAAAGCTGACCGAATCCGACCCGAGCCCGAATACAATTTATAGCTACATTTTTGACCAAACCCGGCCCGACCCGTCGGGTACCATCGGGCTCGGATCGCCACACTCTAGTGTGTGTATGTGTCCCCTATCTATTGGGGTCTATCTGAATTTCTGTCTTTGAGAGATATTATGTCATGATCCTCATCATGGCAGCCCCTCCCTCTCCCTCGTGTGTGTGTGTCATTCCCTGTCTGTATTACTCCTCCTGTGTTTCTCCCCCTGTCTGTTCTGTGTGTGTGCATGTGGGCGTGGCTTCCTTCCACAGGCAGTGCCAGGTGAATCCACTCCAGTAATCAACCTCTCCATAAAGCCTCTGGATTCCTCCCTACTCGTCGCCAGATCGTTTCATCAGTCTGCGCAGTAGTTTGTATCCTGGCTCCTCTGTGTTTTTGCCCTCGTGCTTTGTTAGCTTGTGTAGCTAATGCCTCTGTGTTTCCTCCGCCTCAACTCAGATTGCTGTGCTTGCCTTGTGATCTCGTGTGTGCTACTTCACTGCCTGCCTGTGGACCTTCCTGCCGCCGTCAGCTCTCCTGTGTTTCCCCTTGGAGTGAGTACGCTCGAGAAGACGGAACCTATTGCGCCGTGCCGCAGCACTGCCGCCATTACCACGTGGTGGACGCCACACCACGGACACTCTCACTCTCCTCCTCACCGGTGCCTTCACGGAACATGTCGGGATCCTGGGACCACGCTCCACCCCTCCCCCTTGCACTATTCTGCACATTCAAACATTAAAGACTTGTTATTCACTGTGTACCTGTTTCCTGAGTCGTGCTTTTGAGTCCAGGCTTTAAACCAAATCATAACAGAATGATCTGGCCATGTTGGACCCAGCCGACTCAGACTCAGGTTCACCGGTGATGAATCTGAGACATGCTGTTTCATCCCAAGGGATAATGCTCGGACATCATGACCAGACGCTGCGGGAGATCATGGACTCCCTCTCCAATCTTACCTCCGGTCTCGCTCGAGTTGAGAACCAGCTGCAAACTAATAATCCACCTGTGTTTAATCTCTCCCCAGCAGTACCAGTGGGCACATTGCAACCCCGTGAGCCATACGTTCCTGCCCCTGAACGTTACGACGGAGCCTTAGGTGACTGTAAGTCTTTTCTTTTCCAGTGTTCCCTAGTGTTTGAGTTACAACCACAGACTTACAGTTCTGACAGATCCAAGATTGCCTATGTGTTGGGTTTGCTCACGGGGAGGGCTAGAGCCTGGGGAACAGCCTTTTGGCATAATCCACTCACTGCTCAAGCTACTTTTGAACGGTTTTCCAACGTGATGATGTCTGTTTTTGACCATCCCATTACCAGTCATGACACCAGTAACCAACTGTTGAGCCTGCGCCAGGGTTCTCTTAGTGCGGCCAATTATTCAGTCGAGTTCCGTACTCTGGCGGCTGAACTTGGGTGGGATGACAAAGCACTCCAGAGCATTTTTTTGAGAGGACTTAATGAAACTGTTAAAGACTGTCTCGTGGGTAGGGCAGAGCCCAAGAGTTTACAGGAGCTAATCGCGTTAGCCATTAAAGTGGACAATAGGCTAAGAGAGCGACGCAGAGACAGAGCACAGGTTGTGAGATCCCCTGGTACTGCTGCTTCACCTATTGCTCCACGTTGGCCTGTTGAAACTACTCCTGCAACTAATAACCAGTCTGTTGCTCCCACAAGACAAGAGGAACCCATGCAGTTGGGTCGTAACCGGCTAACCCCAGCCGAGCGCAGTCGGCACTTCAAAGAGAGACTATGTATCTACTGTGGACAGCCTGGACATCAACTCGCCGCATGCCCTCAACATTTAAACCCAAGTCCTCACCAGTCGCAGCCGGGGTTCTGGTTAGTAGCACTGTGGTCCCTGTGTTACCCCGTAAACGCATTAACATTGAAGCCTGTATTTTGCTAAACGGTGAAACCTTTAAACTGGAGGCTCTAGTTGATTCTGGCTCTGATTCCAATTTGCTTGATTCCCAGTTTGTTGAACAAACCCTGATTAATACTTTCCCCATTGATACACCTCTCGTGGCTAATGCATTAAATGGGGAGTTACTGGCTCACATCTCCCATCAAACAGAGACACTATCACTGTTGCTGGCCGGTAATCATCGAGAACAAATATCTTTTCATATCATGCCATCCTCTCACGCCCCTCTAGTACTCGGGTTACCCTGGCTCCAAAAACATAATCCAGTCATCGATTGGGCAGCCGGTAAAATTACAAGTTGGAGTTCATTCTGTCACACCTCATGTCTCAAGTCTGCTCTTCCTCCAAGCTCAAGTAAACCCAGTGCAACCCCACCAAAACCTCCAGACCTCTCCTCTGTACCATCCGTGTATCAAGACCTGGCTGAGGTGTTCAGCAAACAGCGGGCTCAATCATTACCACTTCACAGACCTTACGACTGCGCCATTGAGCTGCTGCCCGGAGCCCCCCTTTCCACCAGCAGGCTCTACAACCTCTCCGCACCTGAGCGAGAAAGCATGGAAACCTACATAACAGACTCCCTGAACTCAGGTATCATACGCCCTTCCTCTTCTCCACTGGGTGCCGGTTTCTTTTTTGTGGGAAAGAAAGATAAAACCCTGAGACCCTGCATTGATTATCGGGGCTTAAACAACATCACAGTAAAAAATAAATACCCATTACCCCTCATTAACTCTGC